AAAAAAAAAGCAAGTTATTAAAAAGTTTATATATATAAAAAATTATAGCTTATTTTTTGCTAACTATTTTAAACATAATATTTTAGCTATATTTAAACTAAATAAAATATATAAGCTTAAAATAATATAATTTATATATAAAAAAATTATTGTTTTGTTTATTTTTATAAAAATAATTTAAATAAATTAAAACAATTGTTTTAATTATAAGCTATATAAAATTTGCTTTTTTTATTATTATATTATAAAAAAAATAAAAATAATTATATAAAACGTTATTTTTTATATTAAATATTATTTAGCGCTTAAATATTATTTACAATAAGCAATTTTTACTAAGCATAATATTAACAATACTATTATATAATAAAACATAATATATAAAAATAGTTTTAAGCAAAAAGTTTTAGTTTTTTATTAACAATTATTTTTTAAGTATAAAACAGTTTTTTTTTAATGCTATAACTATAATAAACTTTGCTAAAAAATTAAATGTTACAAAAATATTTTATTTTTTAAAATAAGCAAAATTAGCAGTAAACAATATATAAAAAACTTAAAATATACTATTAGCTAATTTAAAAGCTAATATTATTTTAAAGCTTAAATATTTAAAGTTTAAACTAAATATACTATTATTTACATTAGCTTTTATAGTTTAATATAATATATTAAATAAGCTTATACTATTATAAAATAATTATTATTAGTTATAATATTATAAAAGTTTTTTTATATAAAAATTAAATTAAATAATTAAATTAAATAGTTTTTTATAATATAATATTATAATTATATAAAATATAAAAATATATATTATAATAAAACTTTTTTAAGTTTGCTAAATAGTTTTTTAGCTTTATAGCTATAAATAATATTAGTTTTATAACTATAATTAAATAATTTAACTAAAAAGTTTATACTAAACTTTATAATTAAATAAAAAGTTTTAAATTTAATATTTAAAAATTTTAATTAAAAATTAAATTAATATTTTATATACTTTTTAAATTATATATTATTTTTATTAAAAACTAAATTAATAAATTATAATATTTTTTAATAAAACTTTTTAAATACTAATATAATAGCTTATTAATAAACTAAAAAATATAAAAGCTAAATAGTTTATTTAAGTTTATAATATTTGCAAAAAATTAGTTAAAAATTTAAAATAGTTATAAAATTATTATTACTAATAGCGCTAAAAAACTAATACTTTTATTTTAATAATAAAAGCTAAAAATAATACTTAAAATAATTAGCTAGCAAAAAAGCTTTTTAAGCATTTTAGCGTTTATAATTTAAAATATTTTTAAATTATTATATTAACTAATATAAAATATAAAGTTTTTAAAATTATTAAATTTAAAAAATCTAAAATATTAAAGCTTATAGTTATATTTAATTTTTATATTATTTTTTAGCTACAAAAAAACTTAAAATATTTAAAGCTACTATTATTAATATAAAAAGCTATATAACTTTTATTTTTTTTTAATTTAATTAATATTATTTTTAATATTATATTAGCTTTAATTAGTTTTTTTTAAGCAATAAAACAAAAGCAATAAATATTATAAATTTTATTAAGCTTAATTTTTTATTTTATATATTTTTATATAAAGTTATTAATAACTATAATAAGCTTAAACTTATTTAATATAACTTATAATTTTATTTTGCAATATTTTTATAAAAACTTTTTTATTAATAATAAAGCTTTATAGCACTTTTAAATTATATATAAATTATACTTTTTAAAAAAGCTAAAAAAAATAATAAAATAATATAAAAAAAAAAATATGCTAGCTATTACTTTTATAAGCAATATTAACTAATATTTAGTATAAATATTTAGTTATTTTAAACTAAAACAAAAAGCAAATAAAATTAAATAAATAAGCTATAGCAAAACATAATTATATTATTTAAATATAATATAGCTTATTATTATTAAAATAAAAAAATTTATAAAAATAATATAGTTAAAAAAAAACTAATTATTATTTACTTTTTTAAAAAAATCGCTTTAATAATATTATAACTATTAAAGCTAACATATTAAATTAATATTTTTATTATACTTTTAGCTAGCTAAAGCTTTTTAACTTAAAATAAATTATATTATATTTTTATTTAAAATATATATTATTGTTTTTAATAAAATATTTTTTTTAATATTATAATATTTTTAAATATTTTAAATTTTACAATATATTTTTAAAAAATTAAATAAAAGTAATAAAATTTTTTAATATTAAAAATATATTTTAATTTAATTTTATATACTATTATATATTAATAGCTTTATAGTATTTTAAAATATTATAACTAATTTTAAAAACTTTAAAAATAAAAACATAAACAATAATATAAACAAAAATAAAAATAAAAAACAAAATAAACAAAATTTTTAAAGCTAGTTATACTTTAACTTATAGTAAAAATATTAATATTATAGCTTAAGCTTTAATATAAAAAAGTTTTTGTTAAAAAAAAAGTTTAAAAACAATAATATTATTATTATAAAAAAACAAAAGTACTACTAAAAAAAAAAATTATTAAAGCTTATAATAAAAAAATTACTAAACTATATTATTTAAATAATATTATATAAAGCTAACATTTTATAATATTTATATTTATTTATAACTATTTAAATATTATAATTTTTTAGTTTGCAAATAAATTATTGCTTTTTTTATTATTAAATAATTATATTAATAGTTTTATTTATTATAATATTAATATATTTGTTTGTTTAATTTTTTATATAAAGCTTAAATAATTATTATTTTTTAGCAAAAAGCTATAATTAGCTTTTTGTTTGTTATTTTTTTAAAATAATACTAATAATATTTTTAAAACTAATATTTAAATTATAATTATTAATAATTTAATTAAAATTAAAGTTTAATAAATTAATTATTTAATTAATATTATTTATACTAGCTTTATTATTAAAATTTAAATTATTATAATATTTATATAGCTTATTATTATATTGCTAATATTATAGCAAAATTATATTTTTGCTTATAAATATTATATTATTATTATTTATAGCTTAAAATTGTTTTATTATTTTTATAATAATATAAACTAAGTTAGCAAATTATATAAAAGTTTTTAATAAAAAATATAATATAATATAAAAAAATGCTAATTAACTACTATATTTGCTTATTAAAATAATAAAAAACTTTTTTAGTATTATAGCTTTAAATTTGCTTATATTATTATTATATTTTTTATTTTTATTATTTTTATTATTTTTATTACTTTTGTTATTTTTATTACTATTAATATTTAGTTTATTAAAATTAAAGCTTTTTATATTATTAATATTAAATAAATTAAATATAACTAGCTTACTAATATAGTTATTTTTAATTTATAAATAGCAAACTAGCTAATATTAAAATAAATATAACTAATAATAATTTAAGCATAATATTATATAATAATTTTAATATTTATAATATAATTTTAAAAATAATTGCTAGCAAAAATAACAGTTTATTTATTTATAATTACTATAGTTATTATTAGCTTTAAGCTTAAATAAATTAATATTTTTAAGCTAGCTTTAACTAACTATATTTTTAAAAATATATTAAAAATAAACTAGTAAAATATTAATAATATAAATTAAATATAAGCTAATATTATATTATATATATTAATATTTTAATATTTATATTAAAGCTTTTTTATAAATATAGTAATAAGCTTTTTAAACTAAAAATAAAATTAAATTTAAGCTTTAATAAAAGCTTTAATATATTAAAGCAAAATTTAAACAACTTTTGCTATTAATAATAAAGTTTTTAGTTATATTATTAATAAACTATAAAATTTTAATTGCGCTTAAGCTAAATTTATTTTTTGCTATGCAATAATATTTTTTTTATAATACTTTAGCAGTATAAAACAATAAATCAAACATATAAATATTTAAAAATATTATTTTTAATTATTTAGCATTAGCAATTATTAAATTAACAAATAGTATATGCAAAGTTTTGTTTTATTTTGTTAGCTTAAAAAAAAAAAGTACAAAGCGTTATAATTGCAGTATAAAAATATAGCAAAGCTTTCTATTATTAAGCTAAATATAAAAAGTTTAAAAGGCTCTGCCTAGTTGCTTTTTTAAAGAATGCTAGGACTAACTTTATATACATAATTTCTCAAAAGTACTTAAAGATATGGTATTCGAAATACATATGTGAAAGCACGGCACAGCCCTGCAAAAGTCATGATCATAACACACCGTATCACTTGCCGCGTGCATTAGATACGTATTGCGATGGCTATCATGTAAGTAGAGTGGCGTGACTTATGGGGGAGGTGAGTTAGCGAGCCAACAATCCCACACGTTTACCTAGTAGTTCAGATGCATGTTGGTTAGTAACTACGAACTTATGTTGTGCCTTGGTTCAATGGGGGCATGATACCAGGTATGTAAGGGGTAGCTTACTAGTCGACCTCTATGTAGGATATCACCAAACGCTAGGACTCTTCGAGTTTAATTGAGTAGGTATGCTGCATTTGTTTATACGCTTCCGAGCCGTCCGAAAACTAGCTCACATCAAAGAAGAGAGAGCAACAAATGAGTGTAACATTAGCCAAGTCCAATTATGTGACATAGTTGTTATATATCTTATCTATTTCAGTGCTGGTGTTTTTTAGCATAGTGTGTATAAAAAAGGGAATACCTAGTAGTTATTCTATTGTCATGCAAATAAATCCCTTGCAGTTTGCCCCTCTACAAACAGGAAGTACGCTATTCTATGTACTTATGTAGGCTATTTATTGGCAGTGTAGAAATATTGCAAAAAGGAAGTTAAACCTAAGAGAAATTGAGATTACTCCGAATCGGGGAATCGAACCCCGGGCTTGACGGCACTGTTCTACGTCGGGAAGATGAAGATGAGAGCGTCAAATGTTAGCCACTACACCAATTCGGATTTAAATCGGATTTAACGATAAAAAGATGCCCACTAGCGGAATCGAACCGCTGATCTTGTCATGACATCTAGATACAAGTGACACGCTTTACCACTTAGCCAAGCGGGCATGATTGGATGATGGAATACGTACTGGGAATAGAGCCTATATATACCCTACGCACAGAATGGTTGCTCCCCGATAAGCTCACGCGGTTACATACTCTATCTGCAGACAATATAATAATGACTATGATGAAATCTTATCGGGCTAGTTGGCGATGCACTTGCTTTTTGCGCAGCCCTTGTCGTCGTCACATCCAACGCCGGGACCTCTTCTCAAACCCCTCGTTCACAGTCAAATGTATAGTTATATCTTCAATGCCTGTTTTGTACGAGGAAACTTAACTATTACTCTTCCTGTGCATCTCGTTTACTTCACGTGCTCCGTGTTTATTCGTTTAGTATAGCCATATGTGAAGGATATGTACTATAGGTATAAGTCGCGCGATAGAAACCAGAACAATACCCGCGATACTAGATGGCACAAGATAGAAAGAAAATAGTCACCTATATGCCGTAAATTTTGACCCGGATTAAAGAGATTGGTTATCAGTCGTTACACGAATAGCGGGGGCACCTATTTATTGTATACTATATTGCCTTTAAGGCTTTATAGACAGGATAGATCTGCCACAAGGCATAGCCACTACCCCCATCACACCAGAAGAGACGATCGTGAGGCTTTAGAGGGGGACTATGTCCTAGTACGGGAGGTTAAACAAACGGGTTACTCATGTAGGTAGAGTAGCACTGAGGGAGAAGGTCTTAGGAGCCCTCGCACGACAATAGTAGCCTATTGCGAACCTCGCACTAAGGGGCCACTTGCAGAATCTATTGGATCTTCACAGCTTAAGCGAAAAAGGTCCTATAGAAAACATAAGGTGTGACAAGATCTTGTAATCAAGGACTTTAAGAGAGATTTTCGTGTCCCCCATCATCTTCTCCAAGGTCATTGGTCCTGGGAAGTCCTTCGCCCCTTAAGGCCATAAACAGGAAAGCTGCTCATTAATTTAAGCCGAGCTTCCTAGAGGCTACCCTCTCGCTTCTGCTTGTATTAGGGTGGTTTGTGTCAATCTTAAACGAGAGCTGAAAGCCTCGTAAAGAGACTAAAAGCCCTTGTGCAGCTGTCTCAATTTCGTGTGACCGTGAGTTGTTGTAGTAGTATTTCATTCAGAATAGCCCAGGTTCCGGAGCAGTCATGCCTATCATCCCACGATACCTGGGGAATACTCTATGTTTGTGTACAAGGCGATCTTCTAGAATCAGTCACAAGCCAGTCACAGCTTACATATCCTTGATTCCACAGCTTTTCCCTTACGCGTACAACCCTCTATTATGCTTTAATGTCCGCAGTATACTTTATATGACACCCCGGTTGAAAGTTAGAGTCTAGGACATTCGGTTGTGGTATCCTTTTCACTTCACCTACGGCAGAACTCGGAATTGTCAAGTAGTACTCGACGCCATGATTCGCACCTACGATGTCCGTCTATAGATACAACCTCCACCATTGCAGCCACGGTAGGCAAATAATGCAGATTGATATTAAGCCTAGTACGGCCCGTATGGTTAGCGGCGCAAAGGAAAAGGATAATAGATATTTATGCATTTTTTAGTGAATAAAGTCACTTGGCTGCTGGAATGTCGCTTCTAGAATCCCTCAGGGGTGGTTGTGTTAACTATCAGTATTGTATAGAGATTAATTCTCCCGGGCTAATCAGGAGAATCAGGAATCAACAATACCAAGCTCTAACTCCTATACTTCTACCTAGCTGCTACCTTACAGTAACTTTAGTGCGACCTATCTTCACTACCCCCGACAAGCGTCCTAATCATCCGCCCTTAGTACTAGTTGCCAGGGACCGTATGCTAGAGGTAGGTAATGACTCTTGTTGTTGCGCGAGGCCTTCTAAACTGCCTTCCTGGGTACCGTCTAACTATATACGGGAGTAGCCTCCTTTGTTGGGATACCCTGTGTTAGTCCTCTTACGTTCTCTAATATTAGCAGCACAGAGGCCTGAAGGCACGGGTACATTGCAAGTGATCAACTAGTAGCCTAGTGTTAAGTCTAATATTCGGCTGACAAGCCCTCCTTTCAACTCTAGAAATAACCTAGCAATTATAGATGAACCTCGAGTGTAGAGCAAGGGGGACATATATCCCCTTTCATGCAGCGCAGATGAACATGCCTACAACTGTGGACTTGACCTCAGTATCTAAACTGAAACAATATCGAATGGGTGTGTAATAGGAGCCTGTATTTCGTCCGATGACGGTTACGGAAGCACGTCTGCATATATCAAAGTTTTTATAAACCATACCTGCAAGCATTTTATAGGAATCTACGGTTGACCCGGCATAATCCATGGCGCACGGGCGACAGCCTATATGACTATAGGTTAAAAACCTCACCTATTAAAGTGACACACACATCTAAAGCTGCACGTCAGTATCGGTGGCCTATTCTCTATAGTAGACTCAGGCGAGAATTACAGACCAACACCTCAAAATCACAAGAACACATTAACTAACAGCATCACGAAGTCTCAACGATGCGGAGCCTACATAATTTTCCTTTTTTTTCTGCTTTTTAGTTGTGTTTAAAGCGAGCGATTCTACGCCTAGGTAAACAAGACGAACAGCCAAACCGTCGAGCCACGCATCCGATAGCGACAGATTTCAGCCCCCAAACCCAGCGCCATACCATGATAAACCGGTATTTCCCCCTAAAACCTTACGAACAAACTCCGTATGCGTCCTCATGGCAGGCCGTGGGATATCAAATCCCTCCCTACCTTCCTACCCCTACACCATAACCCATAACCCATGATAGAAACCCCAGTCAATCCAATCCCATCCAAGCCATATCTCCCTTTCCCTAGTGAGCACCAGCTGCCTGCAGACTGCCTGCTATGGCCAAAATCACCATGACTAAGAAACGATACAACGTTACTGACTAAAAGCTGCCTACGAGATGCACGCACGCCTTAGCGGCTAAATTCCTAATGTGATGACTATGCCTTTGCCCTTTACCTTATAACTAAAACCAAGAACGTAAAACAGCAACAGCATTCGCTTCGCAAACCTATTGCCTCATCCACTAGATGGAGATGGCTACGGCCGTCTCATAGTTTTCCCTCTAGTAACCTTCGGGGTGCGGAGGCGTGCAGGCATAGGGGCGCCCGGATGCCCGGGCTGTAGGCCCCCGAATACGGCCCCGGCGACACCCCGCCCGCCGCCAAAGGCACCCGTGCCGGCGCCCCTCCCCCGTCCACGGGCGCCGCCGCCGCCCCTCCCCTGGCCAATGACGCCAGGTAGCGGTGGCGGCGATACGGATGGCTGAGCTGGCTGCGGGACGAAGGTGGGCGTCTGGAACGGCCACATGTGCTGCACGACGACCATGCCTGGCTCGATCGTGTCTTCCCAGAGCTCTGGGAGCACCACAAATGACGACTTGTCTTGCTGCTGTTGGGAAGAGCTGGAGCTGCTTGATGGGCCCGCCAGCGCGGATGATGTGCCGGCGGCTAATGAGCTTGATATTCCCGGGGCCTGTACGATGACTGGCGCTGGGGACGGACTCAGCGAGGGATCGTCATTGATGGGGTCCATAGAAAAAGGTAGATTGACCGAGAGGTCATAACGACCCGCGACCACGTGCGGTCCAAGAACGTCAATGTACTTGAAGCAGTTCTCAACCAGTTTCTTCATTCCCTACTAGTCCGTAAGCAAAAAAAAAAAAAAAAAGAAAAAGAAAGTGGAATTGAACAAAAGACCCGCCCAAGAATTGGCAGGATCAAACCCCCAAGTCGGCGAAGCAAGGGGCTGACACTTACTGTCCACGTCTTGGCTTTCTCCCAGGGGAAGAGAAAATTGCGCCCAACAGCATCTCGGAACCGGATTGGCAGCTTCTGAGGTGGTTTCCCTGTCGACTTCTCCCAGCCAGGGTCACCGGGACTCAGCGGTTGAAAGTCGTCGTCGTCCCCGTCAGAAGTCTCGGATAGGGTACTTGTCTCAGCCTCCGGGTCCGCTTTCTGCTTCTGCTTCTGCTTCCGCGACGTGCCTGTTAGCGTCGAGGTGGCTGCCGAATCGCAGTCATCTGCCTCCTCGAAGACGCTTGATGGATAGCTGGCGTCCTGAGACTCTGAATCCGAGGCGGGACCCGAGACCTCAGGATCGTCTTCTGCAACACCTGCCTCTATTAGACATGTGGAAGTCTCTAAGCGCCCGCCGTCTATGGCTGGTTCAGTGGGATCATGGGCTTGCTGCACGTTAGTCGGAACTGCCACGTATGACTGGATGAGTGCTTGGTCTCAGTTCAAAGTCAAATTGTTCGGGGTCCTTACCCTTATCCAGCTGAGGCGGTGGACCGTGATGATCGCCGACGACTGTCACAGCGGCATCACCACCATCCTCCTCCCCCCGGCCGGTGTCAGACGATGCAATCAAACCATCATCTCCGTCCATAGGCTGCAGGACAGGGGCTGTGGGTCTAGGGGGTGAATTTGTACGATCAGATACGCATAGATCTGGAGGGTTGGGTGGATCTGATCGATTAGCGATGAGATCTACTTGGCTCGAGTCCGAAGAGCCAGGTATGCCGGCATCTGGCCTGGAAAAGGGCACACCATCTTTGCTTGTGGAAGGAGGTTCCATGGCTTCGACAACCGACGAATCTCGGGTTGTAACCATCCAGCATCAAATGTGGCCCCCCCTCGGTGAGATGTATGACCGCCAGTTCGTCGAGTATTGTCTTACTTTGTTTTTTTCGCCGGTGCCGTTGGTGTTGTCGCTACTATTACTGCTGCTGCTGCTTCTGCCACTTACTGATGCTGACGGCAAGGTGGCTTTTTTCCGCGGGGCTCAGGGGCAATAGCAGTTGGTGGCTTTCTTTCGAAGCGCCTTGATGAGCGGTTAGTCTTTCCTCTACGTACCTAGCACGTCGCCCGTGGCCATGCAGACTACGCAATTATTGCAAAGCATGTGATCGTAGGGATAGCAGTCTCGAGGAGTGTTGTCGTGGTGGTGGTGAGATGCCGAATTGAGGGGACAAGGGTAGAGAAATTTGCG